GTGTAGGGGCTCATTATGGGTATTCCCGACCTCCACCCCCTTCCCCACACATCCGAACTGCAGCCTCCCATTTATGCGGACACATTCCCTTCTACAAAAAAGCCCCAAACAACGCAGCTTCCCCTCCAGCCCTTCATTTTGCCCCCAAACTCCCCATACCCAGAGCACCAGGGCAGCTCCGTAAATCCCCTTACACCAAAAAAAACCAACCCGGGCAGAGTTATGTGGAAGGTATTACCACCGGAGCAAGTTTTATGCTTCAGCCTTCACAACTCGACATTCCTTCTCTACCGCTCGGAGGGAGGTTTGCTGGCGAAGTTTCATTATGTGCACTTTTACATCCAGACAAGAGGCCGGTTCCAAAACACATCGAGCAAAGAAAGCCTTTTAGCGCAATAATCAATGAGAAGACTTTTACTCCCAGAACAGAAAGTTTAAAACGCTTTGAGAGCGCGGTTTCAGAAAATAACAGGAGCAATATTTTATATTTGGGGGGGGGGGATGGGGACGGATGGACCCTACCAGGAGCTCTCTCACAAAGGTATGTTCCCCAAGGGTTCACGCTTGCTTTAAGGAGCAGGAAAAGACGCGTTAAACCCCTTTCTGCATGCAGGGACAAACCAAACAAAACCAGCCACACACAAAAGTTGCTCATTTGGAGAAATTTCAGACAATTGCCATCTGAAGAAACAGAGCAGCCAGCGGGAGAGGGAGAACCAGGCTCAAAAGGATGCACCATTGTCAAAAGTGATGTGGAAGCCGCAGTTACTAGGAGACCAGGACGGGCCATTATTCGGGCTTGGGAGAAGAGGATTCCTGCTAGCGGGAGTCACAACCCTGCTCAGGAAAAAAAAAAAAAAAAAAGAAGGATTTCACTCAGCTGGAGGGCAAACAGAGAGAGGCAAAAAAAACCCCACACCCTAAATCCGCCTGCCCTTAACCCCCCGCGCAACCCCGGCCATAATGAGATACAAGGGAGAGCCTCGGCACCAACTCGTTTGGGTAAAATTTCCCTCGTTAGAGACTAAGTCGAGGTGTACTTGAAGGCATTTGGCTTCCACCTTCCGCTTGTTTGCGTTGCGGGGTGTCGCTCGCGCTGTGCCGCACGGCAGAGGTCGGCCGCGGAGTCGTTTCTGCTTCTTGAGCGGAGGAGTTGAATCCCTGCGACCGCCTCTGCTGCAATATTACCCGAGGAACCAAGGTTTCATTTCTTTCCCCATTAGTAGATGGACATGAAATAGATTTTTTTTGGGGGGGGAGGGGAGTTAAAAATTATGCGAATGAAATTCCGTGAGTTGAGAACTTCATTACGAATGGAAGCGGCGTGTAATGACTGTGGAAAGCAGACTTCAAAAATCCGCCGTGACACCGGGGTTCAGCAAAGTGCCACCGAGGCGTTCGCAGGCATTTCTGCAATTAGAGCCGATCTCCATTTATGAAATGCAGCCCCTTATCATCTTTGATAACTCGCTGGACGGCCGATCTCTTTGTCTCCAAAGCAGGAAAAGCCCTGATGGGAACTACTTACCGCTGTCATCTATGACTACGCAGTGAATGTTCTCCATCTCCAGTAATTAGCTCTCTTTAGTTTGTTAATACTTTTTCCTCTTCCCCACAAAATCCTCCTAATTTAAATTTCATGAGTCTCCCAGCCCAGCGAACCTGCACATTTAGAAACTGGCTTCCCAGAACAGCCTGCTCCACCCTCCCACCAAAGTCAATCAGCAGCCCCCGGCCATTAATTTCGCTCATCAGAGCTGGTGGGGACCAGTCCATCCGGGTTCCCCGGTGTCGGGATTAGCTGAGTCAGAAAAAATAAAATAAACCAGGAGCCGATGGATTTGCTGCGGGAATACGACCACCCCACCATCTCCCCTCTCCCGCCACCGCTCTCCATCCCGGGGTGGTGGTTCCCATCGCTTCTGCCTCCTCCGGCTTTAAGGAGTGAAGTGATGAAACTTCAACCATCATCTTTAAAATGCTGTTTAACAGTTGAGTAATTCTTAACTCTCTTAATTTTACCCTAAATCCTAAAAAATAAGTCGGACTAATCAACCTCAAATAAACCTAAATCCATCTCTCCATAGGTTACTGGGACCTCTTCTCCCTTTGTCATCCTCCAGGCAATCAGAGGTGGTTTTTCTGCCCTTTCCTATTTACCATATCCAAAAAAACCCCATCAGTGGCCTCAGATTCAAACGAGACTCTCGTGGTCAGCTATCACTTCCGAAACGTGCTAATGCATCAAGCCAGGATTTCGGAAAGGACAAATCTCGCAGGAAGGTACGATTTAAGGCAAGGATGGCACAACTGGATCCTTCTCACCGCCACGACAGCTTCAAGGCATCAATTTTCCTCAACTTGGGGTCAGGCAGGTTTTTTTTCCCCAAACCTAAACGTTTTTAGCAGGTTCCAGTCAGACGCCGAGATCTCGAACCAGAAGGAAGTTTGTTCATGAAAAGCTTCAGTACAAACTCACGAGCGACAAAAGGTTATTGTCACCAGAGCCCTTCTTGACGTGAGAACTTCTTTACGCTGTGGAGCTGCCAACCTTTGAGGTTTTCACCAGAATTTGGCAATATTTGGAGGACTTCCCGGCACGGCGGCTATTAGAGCCACTTGGTTACTCAAGAACTTGCAGCTTCCAGAAAAACAATTGTCTGAATCACAAAAAAAAAGCCCCCACCAAAACCCCAAGAAAATGGGATTTCTGGAGGCTTAGATGTCACAATACTAACAGAAACCTCAGTTTGGGTTAGATCGTGTGATTTCTACAAGTTGGCTTCATGGTCCATCTCAGGTTTTATTTTATTGTGTTTTTAGGCACCGAAGTTCCTGCAGGCGGGTGAGCGTATAACGTGCTGCTTGGAGGGCACTGCAAACTCAAAGAATTTACATTTCTGGTGCTCCTGGTTTTTGTGTGTGTGTGTCCCCACCTCCCGGGTCTCCAGCACAGCTCGCCGGCGATGTCGTGGCTCCCGTAACATCCTTTGCCGGGACAAGCCTGGACCCTTTTGTTCCTCATCCCAAGTGCAGAGGTTTGGCCTCGCCGGGGCGGGGAGGAATCCTGACCCGAGTGCTTTTGCAACGCGAATAAAACACATTTTACGGTTTCATGCCCAAACCATCAAATGGCTAACAGAGCCTTTGCCAGGCCGGCTGTGTGTGTGTGCGCGGCAGCGTCTTTACAGAGATTATTAGACTTTAATGAGGTCTAGTGAGTCAGCCAAGCCTTTATGCTCCTAATCCCCCGTTTCAATCGCCATAGGTGGCTCCTGGATGCATTCATGGTGCTGGTTCTCCTGGTTTTCTGGGGGCATAAAAGCAATTCGGGATCCGATTTCGTTGTCACGGTAAGTGCCAGGCCAGCGCCACGCTGGTGGCTCTTCCCCGAGATCTCCGGAGGGGTCGAGCGGCAGCGCGGGTCCCCCGTGGTCCTCCTCCACCCCCTCCCCGGGGGAGCCGATACACCTTTCCAGTCCTCTTGAAGTCCCTTCGCCGCCGCTCTGTGTCTTCTTTCCTTTCGCGAAGGGAAGAGCCGCTCCTCTTCGCGGACCACCTTTCGCGGTGCCAACGCAAGCCGCCCGCGGGACAGACGTCTCGTTCTCCAAGTGGTCTGAGAATCTGAATTCCCGGGCATAAATCATAAATCCCGGTCGCGCTATTGGCTTTTTTTTTCCCTGATAAATTTAACCAAGTTATTCCAG